CACAAGCTATTTTCATATTCCTTATTTAAAGAACTTACTCATGTCTCGGCAAAAGCCTACGATGTGATAAAGCCAAGGAACCGTAATGTGTGGTACTGGTAACACCTCCCACGCCAAAAAAAAAATCCTACTTCCATATTTATGTGGCTCTGCAAATTGGTTCCTGCCTTCTTCTCCCCAGAGAGTGAGCTGGCACTGTGTCTCCTCTCCAATTAGCAAGAAGCCGTGAAAAGTGGAGATGCAGGGTGAAACTCTGCGTGCCTGGAGCCTCGCTTACTTCTGCCACCTTATAGGCACATGTGGACCTTTGACTTCCCGGCAAGGCAGGCGCTGTTTTTAGCATACAAAGAACAATGCCTGCAGAAGACCTTGTTTGTTCAGACTTTGTCTCCTGAAAAAAGAAGCTCTCTGCCAGAAGGTGAGAAGCTAAGAAGAGCTGCCTACCTTGTGTAGGCACAAGGGACCAGGGATGGGCACCGCAGTATCAACTCCCCACGGAGCAGGCAAATTTTACCTCGTTGTACTGGTCAGGGTGTAATTTCTGCCGGTTGAGAAGTCCTTTACTCAGAAGCAGGAGAAGGCTTTGTAACCAGCATAGGCTGCAAATCACAGCAGCAAATGTATGGACTAAAAGAACACACAGGGACACTTAAGGACAACACCTACACATCCACCCCCACCTCAGCTCTCTCCACAATCTGATTTGCAACCATGTAAAGACATGTATTTTTTCTGTGGCAGTTTTTTTGAGGAGTTTGTTTGTCTTGGGGGCAGAAAGGAAAGGCAGCCTCTGCAGAGACAGGGGCTGAGCAGCAGTGCTCACACTCACAGCACAGCTGCTATTTGCAGGCCTAAAAGCATAGGACCAAAGGCACAAATCCTCTTCAGTCCCACACCAGGATCTGAAACAACCTCCAACTAACACTGAGGAGTGCAGGACATAAGGGTGCACAGTCAGGAGTGTCGATAGAGAGAGATGCTGACATCCGAGCATGGCCCTGAATCAGCACTTCCACAGGCAGCAGAACCTGCAAAATCCCCTTTTCTGTGACATTTCCTCTCATCTTCTTTGGATTCAGCTATCATAAGGGATAAGTTCTAATCAAAGCTTTGCCTAAGGGTACAGCACTCCTGGCATCTTTCCCTCACTTGCCTTTTCTGATGTCTGAAAGCATCCTGCTATAGTCTTCCCCTTGTGGTTACAGCTACAAAGTTCTCTACTTTCCATTCGAACTTTATTTTTGAGATCCCTGTTCCTCTGCCAGGCTTAGCTGGCAGATGGACACAGGCACGCTGAACCAGCCAGTTCAGCCCCCACCACTGTCAGTCCCCATCCTTCAGCTCTTCACATTCCCCACATGCCTGCCTCATCTGAACTCCCATCCCTAGGAGAGAGCTACACGAAACCAAGCTCCTCTGGGCTATAAAAGCCCCCTAAACCTTCCATCCTACCCAGCCTGGTGAATTTGCTCAGCACAGAAGCCACAAAACACTGTCGGAGCTGTTGCTTTCCCTAAGGACAGAGGAAGCTGTTGTGTGCTGGTGTCTGGAAGCAGAGAACCACAGCTCCTGCCCTACCCGTGCAGGTTCAAACTCACACATGCCATCTCCCAGGTACGTGCCATCCTGGTTTGTCACACATCTGTGCTTGGGTCCTCATGGCAGCAGCATGGGCAGGGAGGGAGGGAAGCATATACCCTCACCCCCCGAGCTCCATGGTCAGGTGGCTGTGATGTCCTCTCGGAGAGACGGGATCTGCCAACCTGGCCAAGGGAGCTGAACTGGAGGCAGAGGTTCTTACATTAGCGCTGCAACATCAAAGCAGGCACCAGCAGGAGCATGGGAGCACGTCCCTCTGGGAGGCAGCATTTACCTCCCGCTGTGCCCTGGATGCTGTGGCTTCCTCCTGCAGGGAGGAGACGTGGGTTGGGACCAGCCAAGCAGAGGGGAACGTGCCCTGGGCAGGAGCACAAGCCTCAGGCTCCTGTGCCCAGGCATGATAGCAACCGCTCCTTAGGCTCCCACAAGGCTCTGCCCCTCCGCCCTTGCTGAATCCCAGCCCAGTATCTCCCTCTGCCAACACTATCCTCCAACACACTGTGCTAACGCCCAGGATCAGAGCCCCTCTCCAAAACCAGAGCAGCTGCCTTCCCTCTCTTCTCAATACCTGGCTCCTCCGCTTGGCCTGTGATCTTTTCCAGCTGCTGTGGTCAAATCTGCCAGGGCCAGCAGTCCCTCCGTTAACCCCTTCAGCCTGCTGCCTCGTGCTCTGCAGGTTCCCATAGCAAACAGCATTGGCTCTGCAGAGGGCTTCAGCTTCCTCACCTTTGAGAAACAAAGCTGGTCTTCCCCCTGCAAGGGGTTTTGTGCTGTTTTGATGAGAGGTGTTGGCTCTTCTGTTTCTGTCAAGGCTGTGTGTAGGTCCCCGTGGTCAGGACGCGGCCACTCTTGCTAAGCCTAGCAGCCTTTCTGCTCAGGTGCTTGTGGGAGCTGAGAGGCAGAGAGCACTTTCCAGAGGTCCCCAAGGGGAGCAATGAGATCTTTCAGAAGACTAATTGATCTGCTCCTACTAGATCACCTGCCTCACCTCACCTGGTTGCCATGGTCAGGTTTCCCAGAGCCCAAGGCAGGGCTGCTGCTGTGTCCCCCTGACACAGGGAAGAAGTCCAAGGCTCGTCTCTGATGACAGCTTCTCACCAGTGAGATTTGCTTCCTGGGGAGAGGATGTCAAAGGGGTGAACCCCAGAGGGCTCAGATGCTTTGTAACTCACCCACACATCTACCATAAATTTTTCAACTTGATAACTTGGAAATGCAGATTATAAATTTGCTGCAGTGATGAAAAAACATTCAGTTGCAAAGGGGCATGAAATGGCTCAGAGGTTCTGGCACTTCAAATTAATTTTTTTCATTAAAAATAGTGAAAAGATGAGCATTACCCACATGCCCTGGCGTGACGCTCCCAGGTGGTCCACAGGCCACCCGGGAGTGTCACGCCAGGGCCCAGAGCATGCAGCGTCCTGTGGCATGTGCTTAGGAAGGAAGTGGAGGCCGTGCTTACTTCAGATTTTCATCTTCAGCAAGATGGCAAATCTTATATAAAACATGCATGAATCAAAACAGAAGTGCCTGCCTGGCCGCTGGGAAGTGACGCCATCGTGACTCATGTCATTCTGTTTAACACAGTCCTCCCCCTCACCTTCTCCCCTCCGTCGAGACGCACCTTGGAGGCTTTCGGCACAGAGCCCAGTGTGCTCACCCACCTCTTCTCCCTCCTCATACCACTTTCACAGAATGGTAGGGGCTGGAAGGGACCTCTGGGGGTCATCTAAGCCAACCCTCCTGCCGAAGCAGGGTCACCTAGAACAGGCTGCACGGACCTTGTCCAGGCGGGTCTTGAATATCTCCAGAGAAGGAGACTCCACAACTCCCCCGGGCAGCCCGTTCCAGGGCTC